TCTTTCGACTTCTGGAACTAGAGTAGCTGATTGACTCTTTAATTTGAGCACAGTTATGTAGCCTTCTAGAGCGCATTGCTTTCATTTGATGCTATTGTAGCATATGAAACTATGGATACCATGATAAGCTCCATATTGTTTAACCACAATAAAAAAAAAGGTTCTAGGCTTGTACTCTTGACCTTTTAACTTAGGACTCTTAACACTGCAAGCGGTGGATTCTACAATTCTTATGTCACCCGTTTGTTTATAATAAAAATGTCATCCTTAAATAATGAGTTACTGATTTTCTGATTGCATTTCATGGTAGATCAGACAAATTCTTTTGTTGACTCGAGATCTTTGAAGTTTAAGAAAAACTCCTATGGAAAACCCGAGGTCATTGTCGTCTTCCCTTATTTAACTATTGATTTCATTACTCTAGTTCGTCATATGTCTATCATCTCTTATCATGGTTGCTCTACATTATGTAGGTTGATTGGCAAGATGTACCTGATATGAGTTGGTGACCATTGCATTTTAATTTGTCACACACCTCATCCTTGATTGCCTGTGGAATTACAACCTATTCTCCTGTGAGATATACTTTTTCTGCCTTTTAGCTTATGAAAACTGCTTACTTGATGTGGACTTTTGATTTGATCTCTATGCCATGTAGATTGGAATTGATGTTGAAGATAAGAATAGAACAACAAATAATGATGTCATATCATTTGCTCGTTGCTTCTTCTCTCCCTGTGAAGTTGATCACTTGGCCAATATTTCAGAACTGGAATTACAATACCAGGAATTTATAAAATTATGGACACTCAAGGTAATGACTAATACGGTTTAAATAATAAGAGTTCATGCACAAGTGTGACATGTGTGGGAAAAACTGTTCATTTTATTGAAAATGTCATGCAACAAGAAATACAGTTTAATAATTGTAAAACTATTTTACTTTTCCTCAATTTTACTTTTTAGGATTGTGAAGTATTTAAGGGTTCCTAAAAAGTGTTTGATACCTATATTGCTTAGAACAAGGAAACCCATCCATTTCTTGTCATTAACCAAGGCATGTGAAGGTTGAATTGGTAAATGTCTGCAATGTTAAGGGGAAGAATGAAAAAGCATTAAATAATCTACACTCACTCTATTGATGAAGACAGGACTGACAGGCCATAAGCCTTAAATTTCATGAATTGGCCCTTTCTATTCAGTATATTTTTTTGGCTTTGAAATTGTAGTTGACAGTTAACATATCTGATGCTCAGATCTCACCTTTCATGTGTAATTAAAACTTTCAGGAAGCTTATGTAAAAGCATTAGGAAGGGGCTTTTCGGCTACTCCATTTAAGACCTTCAGGATTCACTTCAAAGCTTCTTCAAAAAATATGTCTTAATATTTCAGAAACTGCTGCTCTTAAGGTATTTCTTTGGATGTTCTCTGTCCTTTTTGATGAAGTTGATTCAAATAGATCTTGTAGCTATATTATTATATGACTGGAAAATGAAAGTTTGTGGCTTACTAAGATTTCAAGAATTGATGGGGTGCTTATCTGTTTAGAACGAATCTGAATTAGAATGGTCCAGTAATTTTAGTCCAGACTCAGATTGCTGGATTGTCTGGTTCCTTAAATTTATTTATCTTTTGCCAAAATCCTACTGCTATAGTGCCTTTTGAATGTACCTCCTATGTTCTCAATCAATCACAACATATCTTTTTTACAGACTCCAATGCAAACTTTGTCCAATGTTATCTTCAATTCTTAATAACATACATGTAAAAAGCTTATAATAAAATCTCACATGATTTCAAATTATCATCTGTATAATTATGTGATCAAATTTTTTTAGTTATTTTGATCACCAAATGATCTTATAAAAAAGCAGACAATTGGATAGAAGAAAAGTAGGTCGACAAATAAGGGGTGGTAAACTATATATTACTTGGCATTCTAAATTCCAGAAAGTACCTAGCTAGGAAAAGAAAGTTATACACTTGTAAATGTATTAAACCAATGTCCGGGAAACTTAAGCTAAAAGTAAACCCTTTAAATTTGACTAGGGCTTCATTGTCCAAGAGGGGATGAGAGGAGATACAGATAGTCACTGTGGAAATTGGTAAACTAACCAAGTCAATAGACTTGACCAATAATATAAGTCAATAGAAACTTGTTCCATTAGTTCTGGGTTTCCCTGCTTTGCTCTGCAGCACATCGTTTTCGTAGTTTGCTAAACGTTAGAGCCGAGGACTGGAGCAGAATTCATGTGTTCCGGGTTGGTCTAGATTAGTTGGTCTGATTTTCAAGTGCAGGCTGGATATTCAGCTGCCCCTTCTGACAATTTGTGATTCTGATTTTCTACCTTTTCATTTTATTTTTTACGAAAAACCTTCAATTGGGAGACTAATATCTTGGAATGCAGTAGTATATTAATATGTTGTTAGGCTTGTTTTGAGAAGCTTTAACCTTCAATTGAGAGACTATTATCTTGGAATGCAGTAGTATATTAATATGTTGTTAGGACATGTTTTGCAATGTCCTTTTCTAACTTGATTTTGGCTTTTATCGGGATCTGGATAGAGATTAGATGCCTTTTTCATTATTTGTGTGCTACAAAAAAAATGCTACCAATTCTATAATGTTAACAATATATAGCTGTTTTTTTAAAACTAAAATTGTATGAGTGTTTGCATCTTACCTATCTGTGTTTCTTTCTCTAAAAATTCTAACATGTTTGGTCACTTCCACCTCATGGTGATGCCAGGAATCTGATATTGCTGTTGAATCATCTCAATTTCAAACTGGGGAATGGCAGTTGGCCCTTCTTGACTTGGATGATACTCATTATGCTGCTATTTGCACACAAAATGATAAATTCAGTAAAGGTAAGGTATTGTTTTATCAAATTACCGGTTTCAAAACATGGATATGGGATATCACTTGTTAATTTGATCCATTTGTGCAGAAAACCAATCACCTATGGCTTTGAGAGTGTGGAAAACGATTCCTTTTTTGGAAGATATGTGCATTTCTGGGACTTGTTCTGTTATCACAGTTGGTGGGCTTGTCAAGCAGCTCTGATTGTTCAATTAGCATATATTTCTGAGGATAAGTGCAAATATGATCAAATTAGTTACATGACAAAACGGTGAACACAAGAAGAGAGCTAAATCGAGAATCAAGAAAGGGATTGTTGATAGTACAATTAACTGTGGATCTGATCATTGGACAGAAGCTAAAACCAACTTATAAATTTCTGGGTGTTCAAGAGGCTCTTACTTTGTACTTCGTATTATTTTTTTCATTTTATTTGTATAACCCTCCAACATTATGCAGAAAATTTATCTAGGTATTACAATTTTTTTTCATTATTAATCAACAATTCACATTGTGGCAGTTGGGATATTGTGTTTCGTTTGAGTCGAAACGAGTATAAAATTGCCCCATTTGTTCAAATTTTAATGGAGAGGCCAATTCAATTTTCTCTCTGTTTAATGTGTGTTGGTATTTATTTATTTAGTTTTTAAGATAAGAAAAAAACATTAGGATGTTCTCCTCACGAGGGGTACTCCTAATGTATCAGAAGAAAGAATTGAAAATAAACTAGAGTTATTACAAACATCAATATTCATACTATCAGGAACTAAGTGCCCCACATTAACGATCCAATCTGTTACACGATTTGCTTCCCGATAGATGTGTTGGATACTCCAATTGTGAAACTGAGTAAGGAGAGATAGAGTGTCTTTGATAAGATACTCAATCTACCAAGGGACCGCCCATATGTCTTTTATTGCGTTAATAAGTAGAAGATTATCCCCTTCAATTTGAATGTTTTGGATGCCACATTGAAGAGCTAGTTGAACTCCTTTATGGAGAGTTACAACTTCTGCAATGAAAGCTCTGGTGCTCCCATGGTTGAAAGTAGAAGCCTTAAGAAGAGTGTCGTTATCTCTAATGATGATTCCTGCTGCTACTGAGTTGTTATGCGAAGTATAAAGATTGTTAAAAGTGTTAATAGCTTAGCCGGTAAAGCCTTGGGGGTACTGCACAAGCAAGCATAATAGAACACAAAACCAAATCCTTGGAGCTTTTCATTGTTCTTGTACAGCGGACCAATTGGATTGTGTAGCAATTGCCAATCAGTTCTTCTTCGTCACTGCTCATGTTGTTGCTTCTATTCTCCATATACTCCACCTTTGAAGAGATTCAATAGTGTAAGTTTTGAATTGAATTATTACTTTCAACAGAAACATTAAGCTTATGGCGTCAACGATTATATGAAACAGAGTTACATACAGGTTGAGTACATGTGTAATGCATGTAATCTGAATCAGCATACATGAAGTCATTTCTGTGACGTGGCGAAATAGATTCACAAACTAAATCAATCAAATAGATTAACTGGGCACTGCATTTTATCTTAACACCAACGAAGTATACTATTGATATCAACACAACATTGTTGGTAATAATGTAGGATTATTTTGGTATCCTGGTAATACGATCTAAGCACAATTTGATACCAACGAAGTGAACGAACATTATTAGAGTCATTAATGACTTAAGTTATTAGAGGCAGAGAATTTCCCGTTTTACGTATATAATAACTAAAAAGTAAAATATCCCAGCGCGTTTTGTGTGCGGCTGGCCACACCATGCGGCCTTCTGCAAAAGAACAAAGTAACCCATATAACACTAACCGAGTAACCCCTATAACTCTGACTAAGTAACCCCTGCAACACTAATGAAGTAACCCCTGTAATATTGACCGAGTAACCCCTATTAAACTAACGAAATAACCCCCATAATGGTTGGCCACGTGGTGTGGCCACACAAATATGAAAGTTTATGAAATTATTCAATAAGCTTATTTATATAAATTACGAGCTTTTTTTTAGTCGAAAAATTATGTTAATAAGTTGTTTACCAAACACTCAAAATTGCATTTTTTTTTTTTTTCTCTTTCTTGAAAGATGGTTTTAATAATCTAAAAGCTCTTTAAAAAGCTTTACCAAACAAAACTCTCAGGTTTCAAAACTAGCTCCATCTTATCTTTTGGATGGATCATGTCGGGTCAATTTTGCCGGTGCAGTTCATCCTATGAACAAGAAAAAAAAAAAAGAAATTACCATTCCTTAGCAATTCAGCTAGCATCAATTCATCAAGTCAATTTTGTCAGATTACTACCTGACACAATTACAAAAAGAAAGTTTTGGAGGGACACCATTCCATATCTCCAATATGGCCTTATCTTCTTCAGTATCTCTCCCCAAATCTTTGCCTGCAAATAAATCAATCAGAAAACTCCCAATTCATCAACCATCTTCAAACATTCAATTTCCAATCTTTCAAAACCTCTCAAACAATCCTCTCATTGATCAATGCAGCAGCAGAAGAAGTAGCAGCAGTACTAAAACTAAAGTTTCCTTCTTTCCTGCCTTCTTTACCAAAGGTAAAAATGCTGAAGCTCTAAAAATGGAGCTTCTTGAGGCCATTAAACCCCTTGATAGAGGAGCTGATGCCACCCCTGAAGATCAACAGAGTATTGATCAGGTTGGAATTTCCTCAATTCCCCCCCCCCCTTTTTTTTTGGATTTTTAATCACAAAGTTGGGGTTTATGATGATTTTGTACTTTGGGTGTTTTAGTGATGCTGCTAAATTTATCAGTATAGTACTATAGTTAAATCCCTAACTCTCTCCAGTGTAGATGGAATTTGATTCAAGGTCTTGGGAAGACTTAAACGAACTAAGCTAGTTGACATCTTTCGTGTTGTCCATATACCCATGAGTAATATATTTGAATATGTTTGACATTATGAAATGTTTTTATTGAGGGTTTAAGACCCAACAAAAGAAAAGTGGAATAAGACTTACCTTAAATTATGTGGTACAAATATATATACCTTCTTGTTGTTGTGCTCACTGCTCAGTAAACTAATAGTTCATAGGAGTCAATTTTGGTGAGAAAAAGTAGACTATATTGTCTCAGGTTTATTGATTGCATGTTTGACTCCTCAAAATGCTATATTGTACAGTATTATAGTTTGTATTTGTACACTAAAGAGTCTGGTTCAAGATAACTGCCAAAAATAGTTCTTTTCTGTAATTTGGTCTAATTTTGGTTTTTACTTGTGGTGTTCATAAGCTTACTCGCAAGCTTGAAGCGGTGAATCCAACGAAAGAGCCACTGAAGTCTGATTTACTGAATGGGAAATGGGAGCTCATTTACACTACCTCGCAAGGAATCTTACAAACTAAGGTTGTGTTATAATATATTGAACTTCAAATGCTGAACTACATATTACTACCAATGTAATGACGGTTTATCATCTTTCCACATTAGTTGCTTGTTTTATCGTCTGCCCTTTTTTTTTATTCAGAAGGAATGTTGCTCTAATTATCATATCAGATATTGTAGTAATAAAAATGTAGCCATATACACTTGTGCTTTCAAGGATTGTTCTAGTTTGCATTATACTCTTTCTTTTTTCTGACGTTTGATTTTTATGTTCAAAAGTTTAAATCTTAGGGGATACTATCTTTATACCAGTTTTCTGAGCAATTCTCGGGCATGTGTTTTCATGTACTCCTGCATATGGAGGAAATAGTGGAGACAGAGCAGCAGGCTGCATGAAATAGCATATTTAGTTCATATGCTTGTTATTTGTTGAACACTGAAGTTTGAATTTCAGAAATAGAACAGCAGTTCAAACTTTCCAGTTTAATAATTACAGAAAACATGAGAGACTTTACTTAGTGACGGCATTGCCTATGCTACCTAGGAGTATAGGATTATCAGTTGCAATTTAAGACAAAAACCATATTCTATGAGTTGATCAAGCCAGTTTCCATGCACTGAACATGAAATCAAGTAGTAAATACATAATTTATGAAGAAAACTAGTAAATTTTAAAAAGCTGAGCATATTATTGTAAGTTGACTTGGGTTTTTTTTATAGTTCATAGTCCTCAAATTGAACTAGATGTTCTCGCTTATAATCATGACTTAGGCTTCTTCTATTCCTGAACGAAGTTCTGTAATCTGCTCACCTTTTTTATTTTGACAGAGACCTAAATTCTTAAGATCAAAAGTGAACTATCAAGCAATAAATGCAGATACACTTCGGGCCCAGAATATGGAAAGTTGGCCATTTTTTAACCAGGTAACACTGATTGCCTTTGTTTTTATCTCGCTCAAAGAAGTTATACATACTGATTAAATGATTGTATAGTCCGTATTATTTTGTTTGAACTTTTCCTGCTATCCTTCTACTTATTACAATTCACAGGTGATTAAGGATTGTTGAGCTAGGCTATTTCTTTTTGGAAATATCCGAGAAAGGTTCCAATACATCACATTTTTTAGGTTTAAAAAGCTGCTTTCTTAAGTTGAGAAACTGTCCTATATTGTTAAAACTGTCCTTTTTAAGTATGGTGAGGAGCTGTTAGGTTTGTATTAGTTTTTTCTCACTTTAATCATACCTCAGTGTATACATAAATATTAGACTCTTATGTACTTGTAGCATTTAAGATAATTTTTTCTAACCACTTATAATCTCATATGTAATTTGGACTGCAGTGCCAAGATGCTAATGTATCCCGAAACATTCATTTCTTGCTTACTGGTCCAAAAACTCATTAGCCTTCAATCTTAGTTACTGAGTGACTCACATTAAATGTTGTTTGGTGTCAACAAATTTACAGTATGTTGTAGTATCTTCTATTCCTGCACGACAGATAATATACTTTAATCATCGATGGTTTTAATTTTTCTTACTAATGTGCTCATATGGATGTTTTCCAGGTCACAGCAGATCTCACTCCGGTCAATTCAAGAAAAGTAGCTGTGAAATTTGATTATTTCAAAATAGGAGGGCTGGTAATAACTCCAATATTATTCATAATATATCTAGTTGGTTTTTTTTTAAAGCTTTTACGGAGGAACAAGCAAATAAAATTTGTGAGTATATTAATCAAGGACACATATATTGTATTTCTACTTCCTATAATTTACTGCAAAAGGGGGATTGAATAAGCACTTGCCTAGTTCTCTTTGAACATATTGTTTTTCCTTTACAATGTTCTTTTTGCATAATCAATGATACCTTTTAGACACCCATGATCAAAGAGACAAGATCAATTATAAAAATATAATATAATGGCCAGTGTTATGATTGATATAACTTGCATCTTATCTGAGTGCTTTTCTTTTCCTTCTCGGAGATGCCTAGTTTGAATTAGTGCAATGACTGTATCTCTGCCTTGCAAAGATTTCTTTATTCTTACTGCTTTTGATTTGGTTACGATTAAAAACCCATATTTACGTCGTCACTATCACCTCATTGCTAAAACCTAAAGCCCTATGATAGGAAGTCAGCCAAATTTCTTACGAAATACCTAGTGCATGAATTGTGAAAATTTTCAGTCAGTCACTAGAATAAGAGGCAGCTCCAACATGAGTTCTTTTTTATGCTATATCTTGATTTCTAGTTAAGTATGATTAATAGTCTTCCTATGCAGATACCTGTGAAGGCACCAGATTCTGCGCGTGGATCATTGGAAATCACTTACTTAGATGAAGAGTTACGGTATGCAGCTTAAAAATAACATCTGTTTTGTATTGAACATGATCTATATTACGCGAGGTGGATTTCTGTGAGAACTATCTTTAGGGTGCTTAACATGTGAATCAATATTAACTCTCTGTTGAGAACACGTGTCTCCTGATTGACATAAGAAACTGAAAGTAAGTGAGACTTTAGATTCATAAAACAATGATCCAAAGCTCTAAACTATCAGCTTGGATGATAAGTATTTTCTCTTGCATAATACTCCCCATTAACCCCAAATATGTATCTGCTGGGCGAAAATGCACCCAACTACACTGTTCAAGATTCTAGTTCCTACAAAAGCAATTGCTACTAGTATATTTATTGCCTTCCTAATGTCTTCTACCATACTTCTTTATATAGAATCCTGATACTACTGTGACTTACCTATACCGCCATGCAGCTCATTTTGAGTCTTACCTAATTCCTATTATCTCATTTTTAATAGTGTTATCATTTAATAACGGGATGGTTCTTACTATTTTTTTTATCACTTTGCATTTTACACAGTCCTTTTTAATTCTCCTAAATATACATGTCTTGTGAATAGTGAACTAGGACAGTAAATGCAACACGTACAAAAGAAATGCAGTGTTACATTGAAAGTGTTGAGTTCTTACTTCTGTCACTGCTGTTCTTAATACTATGCTTCCATTAGTGTTTTGGGAATAGTTTCTAGTATTGACAAGTAATAGCTTATATCAAAACTTGTTGGGCTGACTTTTACTTCTAACTATATTTGCAATTTGCCCTTATGTAATCAATGGTTTGAGCAAGGTTATAAACAACTTGCATTGGTCTGAGATTGCTTTACATTCATGTGTACTAATTCTATCAATTGGTTTGTTGCTGATTAAAGGGTGTTATCATTTTTTTCCAGGGTATCAAGAGGAGACAAAGGAAACTTGTTCGTCTTAAAAATGGTTGATCGATCATACAGAATTCCAAGCTAACGAGTAAATCTGTGAATGTCAACCGGTCTTATGTCTGGTCTTCTTCGGGGCATATTCAAGACTTCAATGCTCTAAGCAGTACATGACTTTTTTCTTCTATTTTTTTTCCTTCGATATACAAATAAAATCAGAGATTAGTCTGAAAATTGTGTACAATATGATTTTTACATTACACTCTTATAGGCTTGTATAATACAAAATGTGAGTGTTGTATACTTGTATACACCGAACCGATGGTGTATTTCTAAAATTGTCTAATTTGAGAATCAGTCACTAATTGATTGTTCAATAGGTCGGTGCTGGCTTTATGTATGCATTTATAATTTGAATGACAAAATATCTTGACTAATTAATGGGAATTGTTATATCTTGGATTTTTTATTGATGTGGTAATTTCTATAAGCTTGTTGTACAATCTTGTCTGGAGATAATTTTCGAGATTTCTGGTTTTAAATGATAAAATCATAGACTCTAGGGATCCAAGGCTTGATCATTATTACTCATAATGCATGTTGGTTTCTCCTTAAGCTTGTGAGAATAAAGGTTGAGTTAATGTGGGTCATTTGGATTGGCAAGAGTGGCATGATGTTTGTATTTGGGAATGAAAATTTGGGAAATAGAGGTTGGGACAAGGAGTGGGAATATATTGTTGGTATATATAAAAAATTAAAAAATAAAAAAATAAAAATAAAAATAAATCCAATGTCTTGTCTGATGTAAATGGTAATATGTAAAAAATGAAAAAATTTCAACCTAACAGTTTCTCCAGGTGTATTTTTGTCGGCTCTTAATGTTTTATTTTTGTCAGCAGTACAAAATAAGCTCCTAATTCACTACTACAAGTTCCATCGTCGCAAAACTAACATGTCAGATAAAAATAATAAGCTTAGCTCATAATTGTCAAGAATTTAATTTATTTATTACTGTGCTCTAAAACTCTCATTAAATAACAATCTTTACAAATTTTATTCTATAATATTTTTTTACATGCAATAGTGAAGGTAGAATATTTTTTATAAATGGTTTCAATCAATAAAACATATACCTAGTTATATTCATATAAATCATTAAAAAAAACATATAAATACACGTTCGTTATTGTTTTAAATTTTTTACAAAAATACATTTTTATAATGACGTACAAAACCAAAATATTTAATTACGAAACAATAATTTAATTTGTTACTAAATTAATTAAAATTTTCTTTATGAAAGTAGTGTATAGGTTTTGAAAGTTAAAGTAGGTAATAAGATATGTCATGTTACATAAACAAACTATATTAAAATTATTCATTAATTAACAAATTACGTAAAATTACATGTATATTATATTGACACATAATTATATTTATTAATTTTTTAAAGGTTTATAACAATATTATTAACAAAAATCATTGTAATTGTTTTAGGATTACTTACTAGCACTATTATGGGAAGTTACAGTGCTATAAAAAGAGTTTTTAGAATTATAAAATGCATTTATTTTCAAATTATAAATATAAACCACCATTGACTAGTATAATACATGCGAAGAATTATTAAATTTATTCACATATGCATTTGGAAAAGTTTATCGTGTTATATAATCAAACCTAAATGGGCTGGCCAACATTACTCCTCCACTAACTATGCCAGACTTGATAAAGACATTAAAAAAGCATGATCATAAGTGTTACTATAGGCATCGTTGTTTTAATTGGTTACTAATCCCCTCATTTTTAGCTATCTTTGTTTTCTTTTTGACAATTATGTAAGGTCCAATTAACCTCTATTTTTGTTATATATTACTATATTAGATTGAGTTGTTAACATATTTTTTGTTAACACAAAGGAGTGTCATTACGTGACATGAGTAGGTTAACCATATTTGATGATAGTTATTACCATGATAAGTTTTTCTTAGAACTGTTAAGCATGTTGTATAAGGAACTGAGAATATTTTTTTTTATCCATTTTTATTTGTCTCCTTTTCACTTTGACTAAAGTAGCTTTGATTGTTATGGTATGAAGTGTGAATAATTCTAGAATGGGGCTTCATGTTATTTTAGATATGAAGGTTCATGGACTTACTTTGAGAGGTCTGACGTTAAAGCATGCTTCAAGTTTTGCAACAACAAAGCCTGTAGTAATGGACTTATTCATTAATAAATATATAGTACGAAATTACTAGTTATAAGTTTACAAACATTTCCTCACAAAAATTTCTCCTTCTACCTATTCATTAATGGAATTATCCCCACTCCTAATACTTGCCCCCCTTTGAAAATAGAAGGGTTTGTGGTGTTTTGCTAACAGAATAATTAATTTTAGAGGTATTGTATATTTGTATGGTTAATTTAAGTGGGTAATGTTGGTTAGTACAGAGGTAAATTTGCAACTTTGGCCAAAATAAGTTTCCATGTAAAGTGTTTTGCAAGTATTGTGATGTTTTCTATATTTATTGCTTCGTTTTGGAGACAAAATAGATGAAACACTCAACATTTCAAACACATCCTCAATTATTATAGAGTATTGATTATTAAATTGACGATGAGAGGGATTGGAATTATTTTATGGTTGAATTTAAGCAAAGCTTTTGCCATTGATGAAGAGGTGGTGAGAGCTTCTCTATGTTTATTTTATTTTGCGAGAATTGAGTTGAGTTGTCATTGACGTTTTGTTTGGTGTTTCTGTCTCACCAAGTATTGGGTGAAGTTGTGTTGAATTATTGATGATATTTCTTATAAATTTTCCTATTTAAAGGGAGTTTTTTTTTTTGTTTTGTTTTTTTTTTTTTCTTGAGGAGATAAAGTGAAGGTTTTAGTATGAAAAGACGTGTAAAAAAAGTTAATGAAGCTTAATCAATGTAAGGTTCTCCTTTAGTCATGTACTCTAGGGGTGTTTGGTAAATGGGAATTGAGGGTGGGAATGGGACTTTTAATCCCAAAAAAAAAAAAAAAAAAAAAAAAAATCTCTTGTTTGTTAAATGGGATAGGGAATAAAGAAGGGAATGAGATTGGGAATAAATGGGGTAAATGCCCACCAACTTATTACCTAGGGAGGGTGGGTAATAAATGGGTGGCAATGGGAATAAGTGAAAAATGACATTTTTGCCATTAATGAAAAGAATGGAGGAGAAAGATTAGTAAGGGTAATTTTGTATTTTTGTTATTTATTCCCCATCTATTTCCATCCACTACCCAAACAAAGTATTGTCATATTTTTATATATTCCCAACAATCAATTCCTAATCTCATTCCCACATTTTACATATTCACATTTTAATTTGGCTTGATTTCAGCTTTAATTTTTAGTTTGTTTTTGCTGGATCTTTGGGTCAATTTGTTTTGAGCAGGATTAATTTACTTGGTACTTAACAAATAAAATTATGAACATCAACTACATACATAGCATTCAGGGGGTTTCATCATACCATCTTTGTTCTTCCTCTTCTCTACTTTATAGTCACTACCTCTTTGTTTTTCTTTAAGTGCCCATTTTCCCCTTTTTACACCAATTCCTCTCCCTTATACCCTCTAATTCTTCCATATCATCAGTATATTAGTAGGCCAGATCACCAAGAATCACACGGGATATTATCACTGACAAAATTCTTAAGGTGTCTTTTGAGTGCCTATATAAACTCTCCACCAAGATTAATTTCTAAATTTCAGGGAGAGAAAAGAGACGGGCCAATATCAAAACAATAGATTATTAGCAAAGAAAAGGAAACTATATCCTAATGTTGGCTTACTGAAAGATAAGTAGCCACCAATGTTGCATGAAATGATAAATAGGAGGAAAGTGAGATTTAATGTCAGATATTAGGTAAACTTAAGCACAATTTTATATACTAATATATATTACTCCATATGTTAAATGTAATAATTTGTTTTCTAACTTTGTTCAGTATATATATCTCATCTGCCAGGACATAGTAAAAAAGTTTGACACCAGTAAAAAAGTTTGACACCAATACAAATTATGAGGGATTGACAATTGTTTGGCTTGAGTTTGCCTTAGACATCATTTGGGGATTGGAAGAATGGTTGTATACTTAAAGTCTCAAAACATCACCTTAGGGAAAATGATAGAGATATGTTTTGAGTAGGATCATTTGTGTATTTAATCCGAGTTAGTGGCTTGATGTATTCCATATTTCTTCCAAGGAAGTTTCATTTTTGCCTTTGGTATTTCTCACCTTTCAAATGTTGTTTTGAGTAGTTTATGGTATATAGGTACAAGCACTCAACAATAGTACGAGTATTATATAAAACGAAAATGTCCATAAAATTTCCTATTTATCGCTGTGGTATGTGTACAACGAGCAATGCATAGCAAACAAGAATCAACATTACAATCTAGCTATATAAATATATAGCTACAACTAAATACCATGCAAACGGCCATAAAACATAACACCAACTACGAAAACTCTTTTAGAAGATCTAACTGTATCACACGCGTTGGAACCCCTAGTAAAAATAAAAATTAGATCAACAACTAAACATTTTTTTTTTTGACAAGAACAACTAAACATATTACAGTGATGTTTTATACTCCGTAAAAAAAATTGATCACAAGGTTGTGTTTGATAACTAGCTTATTTTAGCAAAATTAGTTTATTTGACCAACATTAACTTATTGACTACTCCTTAAATAAGCTAATTCAAGGTGTTTGGTAGGAAGCTTATTTAAAGAGTTTATTCCACTAAATAAGCTTATTCAATATCTTAAGGTGAAATGACATTTATACCCCATTTAAATTAAAATCCAACCACAACTACAACTACCTACCATCACAATTAGCTTATTGGTCATTTCACATATTCAAACAACTTTAAGCAATCAGCTATTTACCAAACACTTTTATATAATCAGCTAGTTAATAAAATAAGTTAGTCAAATCAAGTAATACAATCAGCTAGTCAAAATCAACTAACATAATCAGTTTCAGCTTTCAGCTTTTCACCAAACACAGTCAATAGCTATGAAGTGGTTTATACAAACATATCGATTGTAAATTTGTACGAAGTAACTAATAAACGAAACCTTAATTTTTTTTTGACAGAAACGAAACCTTAATATTACCATCGAAACCTTAATATGACGTTGAGGAATGAATTTGGGACGTTGGTGGCTGCTGCTACGCAAAGAGTGAAGGTCAGGTGGCAAGTGGAACAAGCTGAGGTGGCTGCTGCTAAATTTGGTGTCCAGATTGCTCGTCGGCTAGGCTTCACAAAGATCGAACTTGAGTGTGATGCTCTTACGGTTGTGTAGACCATAAACAACGAGACATTGGGCTATTCTCCTTTGATGTTGTTCTACGAGGATATCGAGAGAGATTGAAAGTCGAGTTTGAGTCTTTTATTTGTTGTCATGTGCGTT